ATATCCTATTAAAAACTCTTACCTTAAAACCCAGCACCGGTGAATTTGGCTCACAGATGCTCTCTCTGCCGAAGCTCACGCACGAAAGAAGGAATGAAGAAATGAAGGAACAGGTGAGTTTTTATAAAAATTCAGTGGGTCCCACACATTTTTTTATTCTTTTCTCTCTCTTCTTTCTTTCTTCTTCTTTTTTTTTTATTATTATTATATTTTACTGTTGAGGCGGCGGCTGCGTTCACGTTTTCTTCCTTTCTTTCTTGTTTTTACACCTTTTTTTTTATTATAATAATAATTTAGTAATATTATTTTTTTAATTATTTTTTTTTATTTTTTTTTAAAATTATTTTTTTTAATTTCTATTAACCCAAATTAACTATTAAAATTTATATTGGGATGTTACATCAAAGACTAAGACACCCACTAGAAGCAAAAATATATTGCATGAAGTTGTTTTTTGATCTTTCAAGCAATAAAGTTGTGCCTTGTGATTCTTGTATTAAGACTAAGAAAACTCAACTCCCTTTTGGTGAAAGTTCAATAAAAATAGTGCTTGTTTTGATTTAATTCATTGTGATATTTAGTATGGTTACAAAGCTAAATCATTTTCTAGAGCTAATTATTTTCTCCTCATTGTTGATTATTTTAGTTGTGGTGTTTGGGTTTATCTAATGAGACATAAATCTGATGTTGCTATGCACTTAATCAATTTCTTTAATTTGGTTGAAACACAATTTGGCAAGAAGGTTAAATGAATCAGAATGGATAATGGACTAGAGTTTCAATCTAAATAGCTCTTGGAAACTTTTGCAATGAAAGGAATTAAATTGGAGTCTTCATGTCCATATACCCCACAACAAAATGGTGACGTGGAAAGGAAGGACAAATATATTCTTGGAACTGCAAGAGCAATAAGATTTTGAGAGAAACTCCCTCTTCGATTCTAGAGAGAATGTATTTTAACAGCCTTTTATTTGATCAATAGGTTGCCATCAAGAATAATTGATGATAAGACCCTATGAGATATTGCATTTGAGAGTTTTTAGTGCCTTACATATGCTTATAATGACAAATGGTCCAGTAAATTTGATGAAAAGGGGAGAGCATGTGTTTTTATGGGATATCCTCATAAATAGAAAGGTTATCATTTATATGATATTAACTCAAGGGCTATGTTTGTGTCTTGTGATGTAAAATTTTATGAAAATCAATTTCCTTTCTACACCACAAGTAATACACATGATCAAGGTCATGTGGTCCCTACTTATAAAATCTTGAACTTTTAATTCGAGAAACTAATTGCTAATTAGGAAAAAAATTAGTAATTAATGAATTAATTATGGTTTTGGATGGTAGATTAGTATTTTGGCTGATGGGATTATTGAATAGTTAGAAGTAGGTGGTGAAACAGTGATTTGAAGGGAATTATGAGAGCAGCAGTGAGATTCTGCTCATTATACCACACATCACGGCATGTTATGTATGCGTCATGGTGCATGGCACAAAATTTGGATAAAGCATATGCGTTCAGCTCGTGAAAATTATAAGGAAAAGGGAGAAAAGAGAACGAAGGAGAGGAGAAGAAAGGGTGTTATGCTAGGGCATCATTTTTTTAAAAAATTTGAGAGTTAGTTCTGAGCAGTGACTTACTAGGTAAGTTTTATACTACCCTATACTCCTATTCTATCCTAATTTTTCTTAATTATAAATGTAGAGAAATTGAAGCACGAAGTTTTGAGGAGTTTTTTTCTTACCATTTAGTAATAAAAAAGGTCTTAATGGTTAAACTAAAGCTTTGCAACTAGTTTGAGAATTAATGTGAGATCTTCGAGCTATAAGCTCAAATTGAACTAGATTGTGAGATTAAAAAGGGTGAAAATTCTTGTTTAGTGTGCTAAGAGGTTGTTTAGCCATTTCAATGACTTAAGGGTGTGTAATTAATGTAAATGGGCTGAGGTGATTTAAGAAGTGTAATAAAATGGGTATAAGTGTTAAGTGATGTGATTTGGCTAAATTAAGTGTTTTGCATGTAATTTGGAAACTGATTAGTGCACTTATTTGTATAGATTGAGTAACAGTAGGTCACTTATAGAAATCTACATATTATAAGGTAGTGTTGTGCTAACGGTAACTCTTAGTAAAAAAAAGTGTGAGATAACTATATAAACTCTTCTACCTACAAGCTTGTAAAATTATGTACAAGCTAATTGTTTAAATTATTATGTTAATATTTCTAAATAGATAGAGTAGCTTATTATGAAACTCCGCATGTGAAAAATGTGTGTCAATGATGCCTATTATGTATGAAAAGAGTGTGTGTTAATGATGTGTGCGATGTATGTGAAAAGTGTGTGATAGGAATATTTGAGTTTATTCAAGTTATTGGAATATATGTCTCACTCCATTACTTCATATTTATAGGTATTGATAGTTTAAAAAGACTGGAAAAGGAAGCACGAGAAGAGTAGCTTCATTTCTGGTAGTTGTATAGCTACCTTTAAGGTGTAATGAATGTATAACTAGTGTTTAAGTTTCCAACTAGGGTATAAACATGTACATATGTCATCTTGAGTGACTTGGTTGTATTATTTTGATGCATCTTCGCTAGATGTGTAAATGCATGTGAATATGGTGTTTAAGCTTAGATGCTACTACAATCAAGTATTGATAAATTGTTTTTTCCCTAGCTTGTGGTGCCTGAGGTGTAAGTACTTGTGTAAAGCTAGAGGTATTTATTAATAAGCAAGTTTTGAGAATGTTAGGTGTTCAACTTATTCCACTAGTGTGTATTTGTGATTATATGCATGTGCTAATCATATATTATCCGTAAACCTTGGCTATATGGTGAGATTTAGCCTCATATGTGTAATTCAGAGATTTATAAGTGGAACAAGTGTAAAAATGTATAGGAATGGTGTGTACAATTGTACGTGTTGTAATAATTTCTCTATAAGCCCACATGTGTAAAAAGTGGCATCGAGAGCAATGTTTTTAGCACCGGACCTGATACTAAACCAGAAAGGTCAATGGTTCACGATTCACATGGTTCAATCGGGTTGAACCAATGATCAAATCGATGACATAATAATTAAATTAAAAAAATTATATATGTATATAATAATCTAGATATAAAAAATAAATATGAAATTACTACTTAACTTAAAAATCAAACCAAATATTTTAAGTTTGTCATGACTTAATAAGTCATATGATATAACATAATATTAAATAATTAAAAAATTAGTCATTTCCTAAAAAAATATTTGATAAAAATAAAAAAATTAATAGTCCAATTTTTAAAAACCGAATCTAATTCTCGGTCTGACTATCAATTCAAAATGGCCCAATCCAACTAAACCCTTAAAATGGTTTTTACATGCTAACCAAGCCAAAATCCAAACTAGTTCGACCATCCAATTTAATTTTTTAATCACTGGTTAAGAGGTCAAATTGTGTATTTGATGGGTGATTTGTGTTATTATGTGCTAATCGAGTTTGTTTAGTCCTTTTGGACTTAGTTCAAAGCCCAATGTAGTCTAATGAGGCAAAGTGGTGAATTTGAACACTAAGGCTGCTAGGTGTTTAAAGAAAAGTGATTTTTTACACTCAAATGTCTAAATTGAGATCACATTGTCAGATCATATCCAAACTTATCTCATTAATTAACAAACTTATCTCATTAATTAACTTATTTTATGAGTTTTGTGCAAGCACTTAAATCACTCTAATTAAACTTTATATGTGAAAATGGCATGCAGTAAAAATTTGTATCAGATTGTTATCATGACAACAAAATCTAATATGTGCACTACAATGTACAACACAGAGGATAAGCTTATGACTTTGTACCATAAGCCATAGTGCATGGCACATTTTAGGAAAAAATAATTTTTTAATTCTTATTTCAAGGGCACGGTGCCTTGGCTTCCTTAAGCCTTTTATAGATTACTAATTGTATTTTTTTTTACTTAAAGTCAAAATCTCACATTTTTAAAATCAATTAAGTGTATGTATTGCATTTGTGTTAGGGTGTATGTAAGTAAAGTTAGTGGTTATAGTGTGGGACTTTATAGCATTCAACCAATTATTGATGATGATGAGGTCGTTAATTGCCACACAAGTCCAAAGGGGAGATGTGTCAGTTAGACACTTTGAATAAAGAGCAAACCACGTAAGGGCAGCATGTTGAGTAACAACATGCTAATGGTGACAAGTTACATGATGGACCTTATAGAGATAGGATCAAGAGAAGTAAACGAACTCAAAAGATGCCACAATACTTGGAGTAATATGAAGTGAATATGCCACATTTGACCAAGCCATCATAATCCACCAACTCCACAGGTAACTCCAATCCTTATCTTATACCACATTACATTTTCAATTATCATTTTTAGATAAGCATGAAGCCTTCTTATGTGCCATCAACTCCCACAATGAGCCAAGGACATTTGAACAAACCAAGAAACATGAACATTGGCGAGAAGCGATGCAGAAGGAGATTAAGGCATTAGAGGGTAATGGCATATGGACCTTAGAACAATTGCCTCCAAGAAAACACATGATTGACTCCAAGTAGGTATATAAGACAAAGTACAATGGTGATGTAGATAAACATAAAGTAAGGCTTATAGCCCGAGGCTTCACACAAAGAGAGGGTGTGGACTTTCATGACACATTTGCACCAGTGGCTAAATTAGTCATTGTACAAACATTGTTGGTAGTAGTTGCAAAGAAAGGATGGTTCGTACACTAACTAGATGTAAACAATGCCTTCTTGCTAGGAGATTTGGATGAAGAAGGATACATGAAAAATACCTCAAGATTTTGCCAAGAATGGAGATACTCATGTATGTCGCCCACGAAAATCACTTTATGGGCTTAGACAAACTTCAAGAAACTGGCATCGCAAATTCACGAAAACATTATTAAAAGTGGGGTTCAAGCAATTAAAGGCAGATTATTCATTACTTATTCACAAGAAAGGACAAACATTTACCACTATGCTTTTGTATGTGGATGATATCTTATTGGCAATCAATAATCAACAACATATGAATGACGTGAAAGCCCACTTGCATGGAAACCTCAGTATGACAGATTTGGGACCGTTGAAGTATTTCCTAGGAATTGAGGTTACAAGATGGCAACATGGTTTTATTCTAAGCCAAAGAAAGTTTGCACTTAATGTATTAAAAGATACAAGAATGGAGCCTTGTCGACCAAGTGCTTTTCCAATAGAGCAGAATTGCAAGCTCACTATAGAAGATGATGAACCTTGCTCAGACCTTCATCAATATAGAAGGTTAGTTAGGAGATTGTTCTACTTAACTATAACATATCCTGATATCACATTTGCTGTGAACATATTAATTAAGTTCAACAGAGAGCCTAAGAAGTCTTATATGGATGCACTTGAACGAGTATTGCGGTATATCAAGATGACATTAGGACAAGGCATATTTCTTAGCTCCACAAGACCTTCAAGACTAGAAGCCTATAATGATGCTAATTGGGTTGGATGCTAATTCATACAAAGGTCATGCAAAAGATATTTCATTAGTCTTGGGGGTTCACCTATGTCATAGCAAACAAAGGAACATATAGTGGTGGCAAGGTCATCGATAGAAGTAGAGTACAGAGCCATGGCAAGTACAGTTAGTAAGGTAATATGGCTTCCATTTACTATCAAAACTTGGACTTTACCAACAAGGGCCAATGTCACTGCACTATGACAACCAAGTGGCATTGCGCATTGCGACTAACCCAGTCTTCCATTAGTGTACAAAGCATGTTGAAATGGATTGTTATTTTGTTTGGGAAAGAGTTCGTTCAAAGGACATACTGCCCATAAAGATATGGACAGATTCATTGCTAGAAGATATGTTCATGAAAGCCTTGGGTAGAGACAGGTTGCAAATGCTCTTGGGCAAGTTGGGCATTACAAATCTTCATGCACTAACTTGAAAGGGAGTGAAGGAAATCATAGATCTAATATGATTGCATTTATAATGATTGTGTGAGATACGACAATGACAAATATTGGACATTTAAGATAGCACATCACAGAGAGATAATCATGGGATCTCTAAACATTAGGACATTGATTTTAGATGTTTCTGTAATTTTGTATACATGCAGCAGTCTTGAGATAATAAAATAATAATATCATTTTCACAAATTATTCTTCACCCAATTAAATCAAACAATTATTATCCTGTTGTGACACTTATTAAGTGATAAAATGTATTTTAGTTATTGAATTCAAATTCAATATATCTCACAAAATCACTATAGTTCTATCATAATCCATTGATAAATTTTACTATATATTTCCTCCATTTTTAAATATAAGAAAAATTTTCATTTGGTTTGTTGTTATTTTTTTATATTCAAAATAATAATTTTCAAAAAACATTTATGACATCTTTTCTTAATTACTCTTCATTAAATGATAGTATCATTAAATTTGAGAAAATAAAATATTAATCACAAGTACATCTTAATTCAAAATTTTTAATTTCAAACATAATTATTAAGATTAATAAATTTTATAAACTATTTGAATTGATTAAAATTTGTTTGTATATAAAAAATTTCATAATTTTTTTAAAAATTTGCTTATATGAATTGTTATTTTTTAAACTTTTCAATTTCATAACCAATTCACTATGGGTTCTACAGCTATTTTTTTTATTTTTGTTATGGATCCCATATGAAATCTTGATATACAAAAATTAAATTTAAAAAGAAAAAAATCATGTTACTGTACTGTATATGAACAGTATCATGATGATACATTTTTTTACATATATAGATGTAGAATATGGAATAAATGTTTTGTTATTTTGGCTGAAAATTAATCAGCAAATGGTTCCTTGTTACTTTTATTTTGTGACAATATATTACTTCATTGGAAACAATAACTTCAGGCTTTCGATTTCTCACATTCAGCGTCACATCATCTGTAATAAAAGTTTTGAGGCATCTTCCTTTATTTAGTCTTGAATTTTGATAAACACGACACGATAAAGATTTTATACATTTGTTGGATTATGGATATGTTTCCGATGAAAACAAGATATAATATTAAATTAATTAGTATTTAATTTATTATATTTGATTAAATTAGTTTTGACAGGGGCCAAGAACTAATCAATATTTGATTTTTGACCGAATTTCGAAATATCTTATTTAATTAAGATATACTCTATCCGTTATCGAATATAAGAAAAACAAATCATAGACTTCGATATGACAAAATATCACATGTTTACAAACTCATAAACAATTCAAACATACTGGTAAAATAATTAAATTATTCAGTTATCTCACTTTTTTTTTTTGTTGTTGTAAGAAAGGATTACATGTGGATTTTACCAAGTCCAAGCTTCTTCCTTGCTCAAAGAAGTACCAACCACTTTAATCTACATTTCCAAACATTAATATCAATTTCTAACCCAAACAACTTTAATCTACTTGAAAAAAAAATAAATGATACAAATTTTTAATCAATGTAAATATTGGATATATTTATTTTATGAAAAACACTATTGTTAGTGCTTATACTTTTAGCCTATTTTGATATTAATTCTTCTATTTTTTTTAATTGCTTCAAGTTCTTTAAATTTCATCCGTTTGCAATGTTAATTCTTACCATCACTGATAGAATTAAATCTATTAATGTGTATATAACTTTATTAATTCTATTATTGAGTTGGTAAATTTATGATGAATTAGATATTGTATAAGCAAAATGGTTATTAACACTTCTATCTGTCTAACATAGTTGCTGTGTCTTCTTCCTTTTCAAGCTTCATCCACTATGAGTTTAAGGATTTTGATTTAATGTCCTATTTGTTTTTGTTTACCTAGTAACTTATTTTTTATACAACTTAGCATAACTTTAAGAAATCAACGCAAGAAATAATAGTGTTTATGTATATGTTAGCCATAGTTAAATCATTATGATCATATTTAAAAATATATAAGAGGACCAACATTGTAAATAAATGAAACTTAAGAGACTTATAATGAAAAAAGTACAATGACTATTGGATTATTCACTCTTAACGGATCATACCCAAATACGAGTCCAATTATGGAATGAGACCTTGTAAGAATATTGAAAAAATTTGGGTCTTCATGAATAATATGTTCTAAATTTTTAGTGTAATTTTTGCCCACCTATTAAATACTCCTATGATCCTATTTATAGGGTATAAAGAGAAGAAAATATTTAATTTTATTTATAGGATACTTGTCAATTTTTAATATTTTTTTTATATTTTTGCCCTTATTAAATATTTTGAATAAAAATATCAATAATGAGATAAGAATATTTATTAGAAGTAAAAATGAAAACTTATTAAATTTTAAAGTAAAGTTAATAAGATTTTAGATTTTTTTTTATTTTAATAAAATATGTTAAAAATAATTTATAAATAAAATTAGAGGGAGGAAGTGAGTCTACTCCAACACGAAAACTTAGTTGCTTTGCTCATCAATTGTCTACATTTGTTGTGGAATCAGAACCAAGTTTAAATACGTAACTCCATTCTCGCACAAGGCTCCACTTGGTACAACTTATCATGCAAGTTTCCCTTTGCACGTTCTTATAAGGACTAATAGCAAAATAAACTAAAAGAATAAAGACCAATAATTATATTTTCGTTTATTTTATCTTACAATTAACAATGAAAAGATCCGACATTCAATTAAGAAAGACTAAAATGATTTATAAATTCTGGCAAAAAAATGATTTATAAATTGAAGTCATATTGTCCCTATCATCTATAACTGAAAAATTTTGAGATGAAATGATAAAAAAGTATTATCATAAATTATTTATTTTTAATTATTAAAAAATTGTTCATATAACCAACAAATTAATGGCCATAGGCTATCTTTTCAGTGATAGCGAAAGAGAACTAATATTGGACCTTTTAAAGACTTAAAATAAGATAAAAATCATGTTGTATAAATACAAATGACTTCATACTTTTAAAAAAATAACTTTTATTAGATAATGATAGTGAAATATACAATATACTTTATATTTACTTACCTGTTAATATTTTTAACTAAATTTTACTCCCAATAAAATAATTACATACTTTTAAATTGATAATATTTTTTTATATTTACTCTTATTAAATACTCTACAATAAATATAAAGTCATTCATCAATAGGAACACTTTTGAAAAAAAAAAGTAATGATTACACCTCAAAAGACTAAAAATGTCTTATATTTTTTAATATCTAACTCTTCAAAAAATGCCTTACATTTTTTAATGAAAAGAGTACTATTCCATTTTTATTTATAAAAGAAACTATCACTTTTTATTTTTTTAAATAAGCAAAATCATATATTTTAATAAGCATTTATTATATATTTTCTAAATTGTTCTTCATAATTTACATTAACAAGAAATAATTAATGCATGTTTATGCTGATTAATATAGGGCATTTTAATTCAATTTCTTTATTTTTATATATAATTATTATGATTAACTAACTTTTTTAAATTGTGTGGTACAATTTTTTTTACATATAAAAAAGGAGGGAGTACCATTTTTATTAAAATGGACATATTTTTAAATGTAAATTCCAAAAAATAACCTGGTTGTCTATGTCAAAAAAATGTTATTATCAATTAAGTATTGCATATAAATTAGTATTAATAATATTATTACAACTATTGTTGTTGTTATTATTACTATTATTATTAATTTATTATAATCGAGTTCTCTTGCGTTGGTAAAAAAAAAAAAAAAATCGAGTTCTCTTGCTTCTGAATCATAGGTACGTAATAAAATTGACTTATTCTGATAATCACAAGTTGTAAGCCTTTGATTTTGACTAAAGTTAAATAATTTTTTTAAACAAATGATCCGCATGGTATATATTTATTAAATGATCGATATCTTCATCCTACTTAGCAATTACAAAAATAGTGAAATGAAATGACAATTTTGCCGGAAAAAAAAAGTCACTTACTGTTGATAATCATGATATGTTTTGTTTTGTTTTTCTGGCTGAAAATACGCTACCTGGTTGTCTATGCTAAAAACATGTTTCTATCAATTAAGTATTAAATATAAATTAGTATTAATATTATTACTGCAACTATCGTTATTATTATTATTTTTTGGTCGAGAAAAGAGATTATTAGCCCGTTTATTTAAAATTAAAAAAATAAATAATATTTAAGTGATTTAAATATTTTATAAAAAGAGATTTATTTTGTAAAAAATTTATAAAAAACAAATATTATCTTATGTTTGATTACAATAATAAAAAATATTTTTGATTAATTTTAATAATTTAAACAAACATAATAAAAAATTACAAAATAAATTTTTTCTAAAAAAAATATTTTTTTTTTATGAAATGAGCTAAAACAAACCGGCTTATTATTGATAATTTATTATCATCGACTTCTTGTTTCTATATTATAAGTAATAAAAAAATTGACTTCTTCGGATAATCACATGCTGTAAGCCTTTGATTTAGACTAAAGTTAA